CGCAGCCATAGAGCAACACGGTGTGTACCGTTGGACAATACACACGCCCTTTCAGTGAAAGGGGTTGTGTCGCCCCGGTGCCAGAGAGACCGCAGATTAGTAAACGCTAATCTAGCTTTGATCACGCGTTGAGAGATACAGACTTGCTCTTTTTCTTATCTAAACTATCTAAAACAGTCGAATTCGTCTTTAGATTTGTGACTGTTTTCGCTCAAATTCATCATGAAAAGCGGCGTTCCTCACGTACCGACTTTTTCTCTGTTTTGCTTACTTTCTAATGAACGTGATTGTGGGTCTCTGAACTCGACCGTGCTGTTTTGCTCAAATAGCACACAGACGTTTTGTCGATTTGTTCGTCATCATTTGCATTTTGATCAGTTTGAGGCTTATCAATGCTGTCTTACGTAATCCACATTTAAGAAAATCCCTATGTTCTGACGCAAACCACAAGTTTCGTGAATTGCACTATGAGCTATATTCGTTGTCAGTTCGAAAAAATCGATAAATTTTCGGTTATTGCATTAAGACTTTTATTTGCTTTTACTTGGTCTGTCACATCTGCTTACTGATAAGGACAAATTCCACAAAATTACGTAATTCACAGGTAACTAATAGTTACTTGTGAGTAGTGGTGTGGGTAAATTTGATATTCATTTCAACTGACCATCCTTTAGACTTCACCTTAACGCACAATCCCTAGTTCTTACAGTCACTGAAGACAAAACCTGAACAAACATGAATTGGCAATTCGGTTCAGCCCCAGTGTGAGCTGTTTGGCAAAGTGGTAACACAAGCACATCTTTCATGCTGGTGTGGGTGAGTTCTTCCAGTTTGCTAGATTTGAGGATGACAAAGATGTCATCAACTAGCCTGACCCACATCATTTCCAACACCTTCCATGCGATTGATCGGCAGTTCAATGCCCGGACGGGACGGTAAATGTGCACTTCGGATGAGCTCTAATAAGAGCGGAACTCGAGTCTAGTACGTCCGAATGTGTATGGTTGACTGGAAGAACTGGGGATTGTGCATGATAGTGAATTCTGAAGGGTGATCAGTTCTAATCAATTATGTAATTGCTTGCTTCGTTGAAAAAGCCAATACATGAGATTTTTCATTTTAGTTCACAAATTTGATGTAAAAGCTGAACATTCATTTATCTGCATGGGCTAAAACTATGAACAATGGGTGGTGGTGGCCCAGTGGTAACCTGAAAATTGTATCTTTGCATACTTAAGAAAAGGAAAAGAAAAGTTAAAAGTTAATAAAAAAGAAGAAAAGTCGGATGAACCATCATGCAAACACTGTTTGTTCGGTTTGTTGGAATTCAATTGGGAATTTTCTTTGACTTGAAGCTTTTTCCCTATTCAATAAGAACAATAATTCTTTTCCTTCGTTCTTTTATTTTACTTCCTTACATTGAATATCTATATGCAGGTATTGATCAAACTCGTGCAACCTGACTCTCATTTTGGAGATACATTTCAGTCTCTATTATCATACTTGTATATTGATGCCTAGGGGTAAATTGTATTTATTCTTGATTCTCTTCCACTTTTATGTTCTTAGTTCTCTTCTATCACCGTTTGAATTTGGACGACCTTGAGTGTTGCGATACACTTTGTAGTAGTTCGAAAGTCCCAGCTCAGATTTCGAAAATATTTTAAGCAAAGTACCATGCGAATTCACTCTTTTTAATAAATGATTCCTGTTCCATTGGAGTGTTTATTAAGTTGAGCACAGGTATTCTAAATTGTTTATCTCTTTTCATTCAGTGCACAGTAAATAAGAAAATTAATAAAAATATTCTAGCTTTAATAAACTGATAAATCATTTGGCTAATAACTACTCACGCGTTATCTACACTACTGAAAGAACTGAAAGTATAATCCAAGAAACATAAAAGTTGATCTTAGAAAGTTGACCTTGAGGTGTGCGGCTCGCTAAGTAAGCGTCTTATAGTATCACCATGCCCAAACCGGTTGAACCATTCAAAAGGTTTGGGCATATAATTAAAGCCCGGAGGCAACTTAACTGAGAGGCGCATAAATCCGATGACTTACTTGGTGTCTTGTGGAAGTTCTTCGAAGTGAACATACGTCCAATTTGTTGCATATTCAACGAACTTTCTCCATCAAAACATAAACCGAGAGGGAGAAAACCCATCATACCGAAGTAAGTCGATGGTTNATCGCAGCAGAGGAGATTTGCACAAAACCAATCTGGAAGATAATCCGGGCTGATTAGCCGTTTTTTCCTCACGGTTTCGTTTGAAAAATGATGGCTCAATTTAAAGTGCAGCTGAGTTCACGTGATCTAATGCTATTATGGAAAGCTCAACAAAGTTTACGGAACATGGACGAGATGAAGGTGCAATACCTGTATGAAGTCTGTGATTCATTTCAATAAATAAATTCTAGTTGTTTTCAACTGTAACTTTATTATTTTACAACTGATGCACCGGCAGCCGTCGTCAAAATCGCGAATTCCTACATTTCAGTGGCATATGGCTAATAGAAGCGAAGACATAAGTGGGTATTATATCAGATATGTTGCGACTGATGTGGGGTAATATCATATTAAATCCCGTAAATGAGGCTGGAATAATGAAGCATTGAGAGGAACCAATGTCAATACCTGTATATATAATTTTCAGGAAGGAGGAAGCCGCCTATAAGAAAACTTGTCATGTCACACACACACAGAGTGGGNAGTGGGATGTTAGTTGGTTGAGAGAATAAAACTTGACGGAGGAGCAGTGAACTATAATCTCATCAGTACCGAATGAATGCAAACGTTGTGAGATGTTGACATTTAGTTTAATCTCCTCAATCGCTGAAACAACAATGGATGATACCAGTTCAAATCACCACTCACTCCTACCGCATTATGCACTTTCTATACTGAGGACGGTGGAGGCGATCCGGGAACGTGGCTACGATATACGTGCATGCCCAGATTAGGAAAGGTTGTCAAATTCCATGCATTTAATTATCTCACCGGATAATTGAGCTCTTCCGGTCGCTTTTTTTCGTTCGAGTATTTCACCGCGATGGCCAAGATCTGTGTCGGTCATTTTTGATCGATAGCTTGATTTGAGAGGGCAGAACTCCTTATATACCCATTACTTTATCCCATACACGCCCATGTTTACATTCGCCACCATGAGGCTGAAGATAGGTTGGTGCGCGCTAATACACACACACACAAGAGTCCGTTAAAACATTTGTATATCGCACACAGACACACACCCACACACCGACCGACGCACTCCTATGCATTCACACGTGATCCAAGCCAACCTGCCTTCGACCTTGTGGTTTGCAGGAGTAAGGCACGGATTTTGTTCCGCGGGGCGTGCGACAGACTTGGAACGAGCAGAATGCAGCTTTTTATAAAAAGTACTCTAACAGGGTGGGGCGTGGTGGGAAATAAATCGACTTGGCTCTAGCAGTATAAGAGCGTATCATTGGAATGCCTTCTGCAAACTCATTTGTTTTAATATCTTGTATCATACCCAATAAGCGGTACACCGAATGTTTTTTTTAAATACAGTAACATGGGTCAACAAATTCGGTTAATGAACCGAGTCATGGTTTTCCTGGTGCTATCTGGTCAGTCAGTACCTTCAAAATAAATCATTTGTTGTTCATCTTAAATTGTATCTATATTTCACACCTCATAAAGGTGTGAAAAACTAACATTTTTCGTATTGAAATTATAATGAGCCCATTTGATTTCAAACTCTTTCTCGTTTATCTCACCTATGAGAGACTGAATTTTTGATACGCGGTTCGTCGTTCGAACCCCGGTCGGGTCAGTAGATATACATTGTTAATGAGTTTTAGCGAGAACCAAAACTCGAGTGTGGACCTCTTCGAGGGTATGGATAATGGGGTGAGCTGAGAATTTTGCATATAGAAAAAGAAACAGAATCCAAGGGATAGTGAGTCATACAAAAAGTTGACGTGAGCTTAAGTGACGTCACCGATTGTTGTCACTGGTCCCTACACTGGTCCCATTCAAGCCAAATGGGTATCAGTAAGCTAGAAATTTGTTTGCGGTGGAAAAATTCCTATTTTTGTTTATTGTGCTGGACAAATACTTTTATTTTTCGGCGTTTCGTTCATCACATCCCGTTCAAAAGCTTTTTTCAGCAGCTTTGTTCAACAATCGACAATGCAACATTCGTTAGAACCGACAGGAGACAAATACTGCGAGATGTTAACATTTCTTTTAATCTCTTCAATCGCTACAACCTAAAACAATCTGATATTTATACAATCAAGTTTTGATAACTACAGTGGTTAAACGGACAATGGTCAGAGAAGTGGGGGAGAGGGTGGGGTGGGAAATCAGTTTCATGGCAGTCTAACTGATTGCGTAAGAAACGTTTGTGCGCACAAGATTGGGTTACGTAACTTGGTTAGCATCGCCTCGCTAAACGCCCAAATCCTGGGGTTGATGTTACAAANCCATGAGATGTTTTGTGATAGATTACCCTGGATTTCTCTTATTTCTCTCATGTTTCAAGATAATACAACAATCAAATTCCAGGATTTTTTATCGCGGTAGAATTTATCACGATTTCGATAAAACAGTGTGAAGTGTTTTTGCCTGGGTTAGATTGACAGAGACGGACAGTTCGTCACACTCGTGGTAGCACACCTCTAATTGGTCTCTACATGTCCATGTTCCTTTCGGTGCAACCAATCAGCTACCGCTTCTCCTCAAGGTTGACCGCACGCGTGCGTGCATGCTCATGCCTGTGTCAGGTGTTCCGAACGCACACAGTGCGTATACTTCTGGCCAGCGGGTCGTCGTGCGCTCACTCATATTACCCCACATTTGCTTGTGATTCATGCCTCACTGTTCGCCCAGTCTGGAACTAAACTCATTCACTCCGGCAAGCGATGTGGACATACACAATCCAATCTATCCGTTAAAATCAGGCAACTGATTCACTGCCAGTTTTATGCGTTAATTTCGGAACTGTGAACATGAGCTCCACTGTTGTACCACTTGATGCGGACCTGGGTGACGACCAGGAAGTTCTCGAAGTCAACTTGCCGTCGATCAGTGATATTGCCAACCGTTCGTTGGACGAGACGGATCTCACAGCGCAACAGTCTGCATCTGATCATTCGCTCAGTCAGCCAGAAGCCATAGCGCTTGGCTTAACATTGTTCTACTATTTGTTTCTAGTGTTCCTGGGAATAGTGACCTGGATTCGTGCACGACAACGAGTGTTGAACAAACGAAAAGCCCGTCCAGTTCCATCGTCTCCCCATTTTGAGATTGGTCCGAATCAGTTACACATCCGGTACTGTGATGACGACTCGATGTGATTGTGACGTGCATTTCGCCGGCATTACACACGGCTGAGACAGGCTGAAGGCAAGGATTCCGTTGAGTAGTCTTCCGTTGAATAGTTTCACTGGGAGTGTATATGTGAGTGAGTTTTACCCAACCCTGATGACCACGACGATTGTTTCGCCTATCCGCCTAGTGTTCTCCGCGCTCCCTGTTTAAACACAGGTTCCATCTGGGTGGTGCTGAAGTTTTATTTTTTTATCCAAATTCTCACAGCCACTGGTGTGGATGCATCATCATCGAGTTTGAACTCAGTCTGTCAGTTTTCCTCCATCCTCGCTCGTTCTCGATTACGCACCTGACGATCACACGGCTCAACCGTGGTGACCGCCAAAATGCTATTTTGTTTCCTTTTTACTACAGGCCAGAGCAAGCCAAAACTGTTTTGCCTTTCGTATATCCATCAGTCCACTTTAGCAACAAAAAGGATTATCACTAGAGTTGACAAATTGAGTGCGGGAATACTGTCGGCCTTCTTGTACAGAATACTTTCACGCTTTCATCTCAGAGACAAGCCTATTGGCTCATGTAATCAAACGAATACACACACATTCCAAATTTTCGATAATGATTTCACCATGACTCCCTCCTCTCTCTCTTCATCTGTCGTTTTCAATCGGATTTAGTTATTTTGTATTTCGGCTTTATTCAGCATATTATACGAAATATAATGTCCTAGCAATATCGTATTCCTCAATCCATGCTATGGTATAGGTATTGTGGATATTTAATTCACGATCAACAGGGGTCGATTTGCCGCCACATACTAAAGCCTTATTTGATAGGTTTTTCCTCGCATCGGATGGATAAATAAATCCATCACATCAAATTGTCCGTTTCTATCTTGCGTGTGTAGCAGGAGCATGATGCAAAATAGACAATCAAAACTGGAGTGTATGTAGATCGACCGTGGATCGATTAGCTC